AACAGGCAGTTTTCAGAAGAAATCCAAGCTATCAATGGCCATATAAAAATACTCCAAGTCACTAATAATTAAAGAAACAAAATTAAAACAATTCTGACACACTACCTCACACCCATCAGATTGGTTGACATGACAGAAAAGGAAAATGACAAATGCTGGAGAGGATGTGAGAAAACAGATACATTAATGCACTGTTGGTAGAGCTGTGAAACTAGTCTAACCATTCTGGAAGGCCATTTGAAGCTATGCCCCAAAGGTTATTAAACTGTGCAGACCCTTTAACTCAGCAGTACTGCTTCTTGGGCTACACTACCAAAGAAATAAAAAAGAGGACTATTTTTGTACCCACATGTACAAAAAATATCTATAGCAACTCTTTTTGTGTGGTGGCAGAGGAATGCCCATCAACTGGGAAATGGCTGAACAAGTTGTCATATATAAATGTGATGGAATACTATTGTATTATAAGAAAAGATGAAGGGGGTGGTTTCAGAAAAATCTGGGAAGACTTCTATGAACTGATGCAAAATAAAGTGAGCAGAACCAGGAGAACAATCCACACAGTAACAGCAATATTGTAACAATAATCAATAGTGAAAGACTTAGCTATTCTAATCAATAGTGATCTAAGACAATTCCAAAGGACTTATAATGAAAAATGCTGTCCGTCTCCAGACAGAGCATGAATGGACTCTGAGTGCAGATTTCTTCTTTATTTTTCTTGCCTTTTTTTTTTTTTTGCAACATGGCCAATGTATAAATATATTTTGCATGACTGCACACACACACGCACACACACACACACACACACATACATAATGGATATCATATTTCTTGCCTTCCCAATGATTGAGGGAAGGGGTACAGGGAGGATAAGAATTTGGAACTGAAAATAAAAATTTTAAATAAAAAAAAATGTATTATCAAATCAGGCAGACCATGTGGCCTAGACACCTGCTTGCTGCTTGCTAAGGAAGCAAAGCGTTACAACAGCCTTGTCCAAGTTTCTCAGCTAGAGAAGAACTAAGGCAAGGCCAGAAACTCTACAAACTAGAAGGGGTATGACTATGTTATCAAGAGGCAAAAATGAAATTCTTCCAAATGGATTTTAAAACCCTGAGGAGTGACTGGAGCTTTCTTAATGAAAGTTTATGTGGAATGTCTTATTAGAGGCCTCCAGGCCAGCATGTAACAAACTTGCCATTTGTTCTTCATTTCAAAGAGGACCAATGACATCACAGAGTGATGTGTTGACTCGCACGTAAATTGGTCTTAAGTAAGGCAGAGCTGCACAAAGTCATCAGCCTCACTCTTTCTTAGTGAGTCATTCAAGGCCAGTGGCGAGAAAAAAGCCAAGATAACTGGCAACGGCCTGGGATGCAGTGGTTGACCTTGGCATCTTCAGTGACTGACCAAGCTTTAGGTACTCCACAGCACCTGCTTCAGCCACCTTCATAGCTGTTAGAACAAATTGTTCTTATCCACCTATTCTGCCAAGCAAAGTCTTCAGATGCTTCGGGTAGACATCTGCCCTCACCAGCAGGTTTGAGGCCTGTCAGTTACCCTTAACCTGGTTTGGCCTATCTGCTTTTACCAAGATGGTTTTACTAGGGTGTGGCTGCCTCTGCTCATGCTACAGCTTCTTGGAACCACAAGTGAGAGTTGGGTAACTGGTTGGACACCAACAGTGGATGAGCAGCTCTGAAAAGAGTTTAGCAAGCCCTCACTCTAGAGGTGCTAGTGCTCCCTTAATACCCCATATACCCCATGTAGCAAACTAAGAGACTGACGAAGGGAAAAGAAGGTGAGAGTTGATCTAAAGGAATTATGTTTCAGTGAGGCTTCAAGAAAATCTCTATAAATGTGGCCATTGCAAGTAAGGACCATCTTGAGTCAGGAAGAATTTTTACTCTGTATGGCACAGGTCAGCTCAGTTGTCATCCTTGTCCCCCCACGAGTCTCCAGAATCACGATCTCCTCCCTGGCTTCTACTGTGATAGCGTCTGTACCCATTCCAGCTTCCTCCACTTCTCCTGCCATAACCCTCTCACTGTTTGTCCTGGAGTAGGCCAAACACCCTGCTGCTGCTACCAAAGGAGCTGCCTTTCAAGCCTTGGCATGACTTTCCCACATGGTCCACTCTGATCTGTCCATTTCTCATCCATTTCTGACCAGCCTGGCATCCGTAGTGTGTACAGAGCTGGTGAAGGTGATGGGCTTTTGTGCATCCCTGTCTTTGATGACCATGACCTTGGCTGTGTCCCTAAAACTGCCGAACTGCCGTTTCAGGGCCTGCTTAGCCATGTTGAAGTCTTTGGATGTGGTGATGACTCAAGTGAACAGAGGACAGTGAGGAAAGACTACTCTTTTATATTTAATGTTCTGTAGGCTATTGCATAGATGGTATAAAATAACTCTTTTTTATAATTGAGTTGAAATATCTGGATGCAAATTCATCTTCTGTAGCCTCACTGGAAGCATCTTTAGGACAGCTTCATAGCAGAAAGAACAACAGGGCTGATGTGAATCTTATCCAGATCCTGTGTGAGTTTGTCTTCTGCAAGATCTAGTAACAACTCACATGTGTTACATGTGAAGGTTTGAAAAGCACCATTATTTGCCATTATCTCATTTCAGCCGTATCTGTGAGGCCACTTTGCAGAGGAGGAAACTGGGCTCATAGAGGTAAAGGAACTCGTTCAAGGCCACACAGCTAGTTACAGAATAGCAATGGGATTTGGCAGAGCCCCTACAGCATGGGCATTCCCAGAGCCGCAGGGACAGACCCCTTCCATCCTCAGGTACCTCATGTACCCCTTCTAGTGTTGAAGCTGGAGGGGCATGAGGACAAGTCCAAAGCTCCTGCTTCCTTATCACTGGCCGGGAACGCTTGTCTGCAGTTAGCAGCGGGGCAGCCGGTGGCCACGTAACTGATAAAGATCTTGTTTACTGATGTGGTAGGACAGCTCAGCCAGTGGGTGCCATTGGCTGGATAAGTTACAGGTCTGCTCTCTCCTTGTATCCGATGCTCCTGCTGATTATTTCCGTGCTCCCATTAGTGTAGAATTCCTGATCCAGCCCTGCGAGCCCTGACGGCCACCATCTTTCCCAGAGTCTGACAGTCAACCCTTTTGCCAAGAAAACAACAAAACATACTGTTTCTTAAGTATTTGCTAGGTACTCAGGAAGGAGTTTAGTAAGCATCACAGGAGTAGAAAACAGTTGCTGCCCATGAATCTACCTGAGAAGTAGAACATGAGTTCTGGCCACTCCTCCCTTGGGAATTATTTTAAGGCGTCATCAGAGCCATATACAAACCAAGCAGAGTCATTTTGACAACCAGAGTGTGTGGCACACAGTAAACACTTCATCAGTGTTTTGCCATTCATTTATCTTTACCCACAGCAGATTTATAGACTGATAAATAAACAAACATAGACTGTTGAATAATGTGCTTCATATGTATGTATTATGATACCTATACATATGTATATATAATATATAGTGCTGTTTTTCAAATGTATGTAAATATTATTGTGATTAATACAAATTCATTTAAAAGTGTTACTGAAATCATAGCTTTTTGTCTTAAATTTCCTCAGTTATACTAATGGTTCAAAAATAGTTCAAACCCTAATTGCTAAAGTTTTTTTTTACTTTAGAAAGGGGTACTCATGCTCAAAACAGTTGGAAACCACTAAGTTAGAACATTGCGAAAATAATGCACAAGGTCAATCTGAAATCATTCCAAGTCCCTACCTGGCAAGGTGCAGATGTCAATTGTGAAAACACAGCATTGAGCCTTACCTGTGCACTGGCCTGAAAATAATAGTCACATTAGCTACATGGTTTGCTACAGCAAGCACCAACCATGAGTGATTAGATGCAGTGAGGGCAGAGAGCACAGGCCAAGAGTCATGTGACTGTTGCTTGCTAGGGGACCTGGTGCCCAGGACTAACAGCATTTCTTTTGTCCATAGGAAGAGGGTGTCCCAGCTGTTCCAGATGCCTTATGCTGGGCCAGCAGAGTCCAGTGCCCTGGGCCCAGCAGCAGAACACTTTTATGAAATGTGTAGTAGTGCTCCTTTCTTGGGGACAGAAGAGAAGAGCTGGAAAGGAAAGCTTGGCTGTCTGTTACCTGGCAACATCATGAGCTTCCTTTCATGATCTAGCCATGTGTTTACAAAGCCCTGGGGCTCCTCCATGATGAGAGCCATAAGAAAAGCCCGGCTTTGATGACCTACTTAGCCACAAGATTCCTTCTTCCCCAGTAGGGGCTGTCTTTGCGTCCCTAACTTGGACTCTCCTTTGTCTTTTCATGCATTTCAAAGATGTGTTTTATTGATAGCCGCTCACTGCCTGGGGGATGTCAGACACCCTTCACTAAGCCTTGTTTTCCTGATCTGTAAAATTAGAGCTTGGGCTAATGGCCCTTTCAACACTAATCCTATCTACATTTTGTGCTGTTTTTTATGTTTGAAAGGTAGAGAAGTCATATAGGCCTGTTAAGTCAATCAACTACTTAGAAACATGCCTGTTCTATAATAGTGCCATTGGGAGCTGTGGGAATTTGTTTAAAACATAGGTGGGATCCCTATGTGAACCGAGGAAGCTCTTGCTTCTAAGCATTGTTTTCTCCGGTCCATTATCTAATAATAGCAGCTGGCATTTATAGATAACTAAGGTTTGTAAAGAGCTTTACAGATATTTTCGTATGTTCTGTACACATCCAAGAGGACTATCTTCCTTTGTTTACACACTTCCCAAGCACCCACTTGCCTTCAATGTACCAAGTTCAAGCTCTTGAGAAGAGGTTTTAAGGGCCTCCCCTTCTCCAAGGAGCTGTCAGCCTCTACCTGCCTTCTAATTTTGACCCCTGTGATTTTAATTTCGTTTCTCTCTGAATGTTCAAATGGCTTCCAGTGAAATATTCATTCTCACCCAAGAAATAGCACCTTTGTAATCTGAGGGTTTGGATTCTCATGTGTGTTTTTTAACAGGTTGATGAAAAGCCCCCAACCTTGATGACAGATTGTCTGGTTATCAAGCAGTTTTTGCACAAAACCAGCATAGTTCACCCAAAGGTAACGTGTTTATTAACTTGATGTTGCCATTTTTCTGGGCAGTAACAGTGGGAGGTGGTGGTGGTGGGGACTTATCTCTTTTGCTGGAGATTTTCTGCATGGTTGAAAATAGGAGCATCTGTCTGTCTGTCTATTGATGCTGATGATTTCTAGTGTTTGGTTTCAGTGTACTTTTGAAAAAGTCTAATAAGAGAGAGAAGGAACTAGTGTTTATTCAGTCCAATGCTTTTTACAGGCATTGTCCCATTTGATTCTTACTGCAACCCTGCAAGGTAGATGTTAGTATTATCCCCATTTAAATTTGAGGAAACTGAAACAGACAGAGGTTAAGTCACTTTTCCAAGGTCACATAGCTCCTGAGTGTCTGAGGCTGTGTTTGACTATACTTCCTGACTCCCTGCTCAGTGCTCTGTCTCCTGTGGCACCCCCTAGCAGCCTAATAAGATAAGATAGAGAGAGATCTCTCCTTCAATACAGACTTTTCTTTGGAGTTCTGTCTTCAGCCTTGCAGTTGTCTTCCTATGTCACCTTGGGTGAGTCATTTCCTTCTTGGAGCTTCAGTTCTCTTTTACGCGCACATGCTAACCCTTGCTTCCACCCTTTCCTCCCAGAGTGACCAGGAGAACAAATTAGAGAATTTCTCTGTTGTGTGTTTGAACTCTGGACATCCAAAATGTGCATGAGGGCCCATTCTCCAAGGCCTTCCCAGGGATAACTGAGTTCATAGTTGTTGGGCATGCCTCCCTTCCTTACTTCTTCCTCCTCACCTACCTCCTCGCTCTCCAACCTACCTTTCCCAGACCAGTCCCAATTGGCTTACCTGCTGTTCCTCAAACTAAGCATCTAGTCTCCCTTCTTAGTGCCTTTGCCCAAGCTCCCTCCAATGCATAGAATCTACAATCTCTATCCATAGCTTCTTTCAAGGCTCCATATCCATGCCCCCTCCTATGGAAAATCTTTCCTGATTCCCCCCAGCCCTAATCCACATTTAACAGTGGGCCTAAAATCAGGGAAACCTGAGTTCACGTGTCACCTCAGACATTTACTGGCTATGTGACTCAGAGCATGGTCCTTAATCTGTCTGCCTGTTTCCTCAAATGCAAGATTTTGCAGATCATTTGAGAAGGCTGAGAGAAGGGAACAAACATTTGTTTAGCACCTGTGATGTGTGTCAGGTACTGGGCTGAGTGCTTTGTACAAAAATTATCTCATTGGACCCTCACAACAGCCCAGTGAGGTAGGTGCACGGCCTCCTCAAATGATTGCACGTGAGCATCTTGGTTACCTATTGAACCTTTAATTCACACTACCTAGCACATAGCACTTTGTTGGATTGGATTGGAAACGCATTGAGTTGTGAGAAAGAGCTTGATGATGGGTGAAGATTTAGCCTTTACTAAATACTCTAGTTACTCATTTGTTTGCAGGTCAGATTCCACTTTGGTGTGGAAGTGAATGGAGTCCTCTCCAAGGAAAGCTTTGGGTAAGTCCCCTTCTGGCCACAGAGGTGGTGCCATTTCCTATGGCCTGGACAAGTATAGTCCCCACACCCACACCAGCCTGACCAGTGCATGGAAGGGATCCCCTGAGGTGGCAGATCAGGAGCCTCTGCTGTGAGCCAGGATAAGATGTGGGAAGAGCTGGCATTTGACCTGCTGGAACCTTAACCTGTTGTGTCTGTCCTTCCCAGGGTGGAGAAGGAGCCCATGGTGAAGCTGCTAAATGGGATTGGCCTGCTCACCAGTCAGCACCACTATGTGAGGTGAAGGAAAAGCTCTGTCTCCCTCATTCCTGTGACCTGGGAAAAGGAAGGTCCTTGGGATGTGATAGCGCCCTGGGGCAGTTTGACTTCACAGTGCCAGTATAGCTGGGCTGATCATCCTTTAAGGCACTGCCCTTCCCTCTACCAAGACTCCATCTGGGATTTAGAGAATCTTCAATCTGGGCTGTGACCCCAAAGGCTTTTTGAGTCCAGCTTCTCACCCCAAGTCCCAACTGTATCACACTGTATCGCACATGAGATTATTCTTAAAGACATACAGCAGAGATGTTTCTGGGCTCTTATGTGAGGACCTGCTGAGCTGTGTTTGCAAAGAGGCATCCTGTTGGTCCGGGGGCTGAAATTTTCATCCTCAGCAACTGAGCATCATGGAGGGCTCACCCTCTGATCTCTCTCTCTCTCTCTCTCTCTCTCTCTCTCTCTCTCTCTCTCTCTTTTTTTGGTGAGGCAATTGGGGTTAAGTGACTTGCCCAGAGTCACACAGCTGGTGAGTGTTATGTGTCTGAGGCTGGATTTGAACTCAGGTCCTCCTGACTTCAGGGCCGGTGCTCTATCCACTGTGCCACCTAGCTGCCCTCCTCTGATCTCTCTTAGTGGAAAGCATGTGCCTATTGATGAGGTCACAGCTTGTTAAATACTGGAATCACAACACTACATATATCATGTCCTGCAGCACACTGACTGCGGTCATCTGATGCTTCGCATAGGGAATTGGAGAATAGGGAAAAGTCAGATTAAGGCATCCCCACATTTTACCAACACTGTTCCCTGCCCTGTTCCACAGTCTTATCCCAGCATGAGGCCCAGAACTCCAGAGTGTTGTACAGGGCCTCCAAGTGACCTGGGGAAAGTTTACTTTACCTCTTTGGGCCTTCAGTCCCCCATCACTGAAATTAAGGAGTGGAACCAGATGGCTTCTAATTATTGTTGCTCAGTCATTTTCTGTCATGTCTGACTCCTTGTGACCCCATTGGGGGTTTTCTTGGCAAGGATACTAGAGAGGTTTGCCATTTCCTTCTCCAGCCCATTTTGCAGATGGGGAAACTGAGGCAAAGAGGGTGAAATGACTTGTCCAGGGTCACACAACTAGTAAGTGTCTGAGGCCATATTTGAGCTCAGGAAGAAGAGTCCTCCTGAAGCCAGGCCGGGTGCTCTAACCACTGCACCACCTACTTGAAGGTGCTTGCAAATCTTTAATGTTTTTGAGTCTATAAAAATTATTTCTCACATTAAATCAGTGCTGTTCTAATACTAGTAGAAATTTAGGTGAAAATATGCTTAATATGAATGTGTAAGTAAGGTCTGTATCAGATTGCATGCCATCTTGGGGAGGGGAGAAGAGAGGGAGGGGGAGAAAATTCAAAACTCAAAATCTTATGGAAGTGAATGTTGAAAACTAAAAATAAATAAGTAACTTATTTTTAAAAAAGAAGAGAAGAAATTTAGGAGCTATTTACTCCAAGTAATAGATGCATTTCCCATAGCCTTTTGTCTGATCGATAATTAGAGCTGTCCACCACCTGGTAAACTACTCAAGTGTTAGGTGTATACAGTTTCATCTCTATCATTCAGGTAATTGAAATCCCTTATACTAGTTAGTGAAGCCCATGTCCTGTTGGTGGAGCACGGTGTAGCAAAGAGGCAGTCTCAGAGTCAGGAAGATCTGAGTTCAAATGCTGCCTATGACATGCTGGCTGTGTTTACCTAGGCTAGTCCCCTGATTCTTCAGGGCCCCAGCCAACGCTCTGAGATTCTGAACTGAAGGGCAGCTGCTGATCTTTGTTGGTAGAGGCGCTTCCTCAGTGAGAGCTCTCTCCCACTGGTGAAATCATGGGCCCTTCCAAACAAGCTAAACAGCTGCCATGGATACGGCTCGCTTGCACCTGGCATAAGGAGCCTGGCGAGTCTGTTCTGATGGTGTCAGAAGACACTTTCAGAGACTGACACTCTCATGGAGTCTGCTCTCTTGAGTTGATTTGGTTCTGGCTCCTCTTTGGGTTGAAGAAATACCTGTGGGCAGGCCTGGGAATGAAGGCATCTGCTACAGTCTGGGGTGGTCCTGGGGCCTTGAGAATGCTATCTAGTTTGGTCCTCATAACTGAAGCCTTAATTTAGCTAAATACCTGGGCTCCCCAGAAAGGGGAACCAAGCTTCTATTTAGCAGTGACGTGTGCCTTCCCAGAGTCGTTTTAGAGCAGGACCAATTCTCACCAGCTAGGGGCAGCTAGTGACAAAATGTATAGAACTCTGGGCCTGGAGCCAGGAAGCTCTGAACCCGAGTTCAGATCTGATCTCAGACACTATCTCTGTGACCTTGGGCAAGTCCCTCAACCTGTGTTTGCCTCAGTTTCCTCAACTGCAAAATGGGGATAAGAACAGCACCTCCCTTGCAGGGTTGTTGAAAGTAGATCAAATGAGATATTAGTAGGATGCTTAGCCTGGTGCCTGGCACGTAATAGGTGCTATATAAATGCCTAATCTCCTCCCCTCCCTTCCCAGAAACCCTTGCGATGTTTAGGTCTAAACCACAGGTTTTCTCCTAACTTAGCTGGCCCCAGGCAATCCGGACAGAAAGGTTTATTTGATCCAATGCTGAGGGGAAAGTGTTTGGTGGAATATATTCTGATTCATTGGTTTAAAGAGAGGGGGGAGAAAGAGGCTCAGTGATGTGTCCCTCTATAGGACAGACCTGTTAGTGGGTCAGTAGCCAGCTAATTTCACCCTTAGCATGATTCTTCCTGGGGAGGAAAGATGGCCTGGCTTACCTTACTCTTCTTAGGAAATGGAATTTTCCCAGTGATATAAAAAGCATCAAGGCTGAGGGTGTGTGCTGTGCAGACAAAATTATTTCAGGGGCTTTCCCAAGCCTGGCTATAGCTAGATGATGAGGTCATGTGTGCTCATGGAAACCAAACTGCCTTCCTGACTGTCTTTCCTTGAAATCATTAAGCTGGTGGTCTAGATGACAAACATTCCTTTTGGTAAAGAGAAGCTGCTGGTGGTGCTGGCAGAAACAGGGACTGGGGTCACAGGAACTCAGAGGTGGGAGAGACCTCAAAGGCTGTCCAGTGCAGCCCCTACTTCAAAAGAAATCGTTTTAAGTGTGGGGTGGTACTACCCCCGCCATGCCAACTTTGATGGCACCCTAGGTGGGGAGCTGAGTCACCTAGCCCCGAGAGCCAACTACAGGCAGAGAAAGTGGAGTGTGTGTGAGTGTGCCTGTGTGTGTGTGTGTATGTGTGTGCTTGTGTGTGTGCCTGTGTATGTGAATGTATATGTACGTGTGTGTGTGAGCTTGTGTATGTGAGGGCGTGTATGTGTGTGTCTATGTGAGTGTGAGTATATATGTGTGTATGTGTATGTGAGTGTGTGCCTGTGTGTGAATGCTTGTATGTGTATATGTATGCCTCTGTGTGTGTCTGAGTGGTTAGAGGGGGCTTCACAAATGTTGTTGGTTTCTTTTAGCCATTTCTTGAGGGGAAAAAATGCCCTACGAGTTGCCTTTCCTGTTTTCTGTGTCACCAGGCCAGGATTTCTGGGGGCCCAGAAAGTCTGCAGCAGAATCCACCCTGTGCTGGGGCATCCTGTCGCCCTCTTCATTCCTGACGAGGAAGCCAACATGGGCTTACTGGGGCAGCTGACCCTCACTCCAGCAGCTGCTCTGTGTCCCTGCTGCAAGCTTCATCCCGACCAGACCAGCCAGATCTCTGCAGCCTTCATATCCTTTTAATGTCACTGAGGCCAAACTGTCTTTGGCGACTGATCAGTCCTCCCAGGCCTGAGAAGGCCCCCAGCATCGGCACCTGCACTTTAGACACACACACAACACGGGCACCTGGGGCTACCTCTGGTGCAGTCCCTCCTCCTTGTGCCATGGGGTAAAGAACAGAGGCCTCGGTATTGGAAAGGTTAGAAAGGCCTCTCGCTTGGAGCTCAGCAACCTCCCTCGGAGGCCACATCTAAATCATTTCAAACCTTTTTTTTTTTTTTTTTTGTTACCCCACATCCCTGGGACATGGGGAAAATTCTTCCCTCTTAAATGTGACTTCACTGTAGGCCCAACAGGGAAGCCATACCATGAAAGTATGTAGCGGCAGCCAGGGAAGTAGGGGTCAATGTTCCATCACTGGGGTCTGTGCTCCATGGGCCAGACTCAGTGGGACGCAGTACATCACCACTGGCAATGCTTGGGCACTAGCTCAGGAGGCCCGTTTTTAATGCAAGTGGGAAAACTAGTTTCTTAAAGCAGCAGTTTGTTTACTGGGCCAAAAGACGCACCCAAAACTAGCTTGCGTCCCTCCGGGTCCCTCCCAATCTAGACACATTGTGTGGCTCCCCTGTGAGGCCAAAGGCTCAATGATGTGGTCAGGCAAATGAGCATTTTATTTGTTATCTATGACGTGTATTTTAAACAGTTGCTTTGTTAAAACCATTTTTAAAGGCAAGGTAAATATTTAATATTGTTTGTAGAGATATTTCCTGAGATCTTCTGTGAAGCAATCAGCCTTTAGTAAGCACCTCCTATGTATGAGAAGGTTAAGGGAGGCTAGGGCATGACGCCAGTGGGATCGAGTAAAGGGCCATTTGAGAACGATGTGGGGTCACTGACATTTTCGGGGGGGGTGTTTCTATCAAAGGCTTTGAGAACTCGATCACAAACAACCAGCAGCATTTATTTTTACAAAGCCTTCTAATTGTGTATGAAGTTAGAGCAGGGTTTTCAGCCTCCAGGAAATGTGTGACAGGACAGGACACTTCACCTGCTACCAAAACTGTCTCCTAATCTTTAAAATCGGAATAATACTCTCATGACTTACCCCACTCAAGTCACTCATGTGCTTTGAAATTCTTAAAGTGCTGTATTAATGTAAGTTATTAATTTTATTACAGTGAGAGGGTTGGACTATGTTATCTCCCAGCTCATTCCCATTCTCACCTTAGATGATCGTGTGAACTGGTGGTATATGAGAAAGCTCAGAGACAGAAGTGGCCTAGGCACCTAGGGGCGTGGCCCGGGGCATGCTGCTAAATGATTAGAAGCAGTTCCTCCCAGACCTATACGTTACTTAGTATAATGTGCATTATTAACATTGTCTCCTTCACTGAAGTCTGGACAATCAACAAATCGAGCACTGGCTGATGCCGGTGCTGAAAATTTAACAATCAGCTCTCCCCAGGCAGTTCAGAGAGCTCCAACATACCTGGCAGGCAGGTTTGCCCAACAAAGCAGAGAATTTAAACCTGGGTGGAGTAGGGAATGAAGGCACCTGTGAGGAGAGGGAGGAACATTTCTAAATGAGCGCAGAAGGAATTTTGATTGGATTCAGAAGGCAACTGGCAGGCCCTGTAGATTTCAGAGCAAGAAAGTGACATTAAGATTATGCTTTAGGTTTAGAAAAAAGATTCTTGTTCCCCCGAAGCCTGGCTGAGAAGGTAAAAAGCAGGAGGAGAGAGACTGGCTAACAGCTTGTGGCCTGCTCGAGGGCTGGAGCAGGAGCTGGGATGGTAAGAAGTGGCCCCCTCTGCACGGATCTCCTAGGGTTGGCCTGTGGAGGGCATGGCCAGCTGCCGCTAGCGCCCAGCACCTAGCGAGTCTAGCCCAAGAGGGAAGGGGAGACAAAGCTGATGATGACTCTGCTGGCATCAGAATCCTTAGAGGGAAATCAGGAAGGGATGAGCCTTCAGAGATGCTGCCTGTTGGGGGCCCGTGGGCCATTCATGGGCCAACATCTTGAAAATGGTGGCAAGAAAGAGGAGGGAGTGAGCTGTGAGAGTCCTGAGGGAGGACTTGAGGACCTGAGGAAGCTTACAGAATTAAAAACAGAATTTACAGAATGTAAAATAGGACAGTTAGGATAAAACAGGAGCAGACTGTAGGGAAGCCTGGGGAGTGAGAGCTGCAAGGCATTTGGGAGGATCTGACAATAGGGCTCTGAGTGTGGCTGCTCTGGGTTTTCAAACAGTGAAAGCAAAAGGGAAACCCTTTGAGCACAAAGTAGCCAATGTCTTACAAAAGAAGGCCTTTAACGCTTTTTCCTGAGACTGAGCTCTAGGAGGAAGCTATCCCGTGGTCCCTGGAACATCGAGTAGCTTGAGGAATAAGTTTTCAGCTTCTGTCTTCTAGGAGACACAAGTGCTGTGTTACTCTGTTCAGATGGGCAGCTCTTTTGCCCTATAAATGCAGACAGTAACAGCCCAGTCACTGAAAGGCTCTCTGCAGCCCACAGCATGTGCATTAACACGCCCCTTCAATGGTCTGGTGTCTTAAGAGAGAGCCTTTGGCAGATGTCCCTGGAATTCTCCAAGTGTCTGTGATGCAGCCATCCTATGCTGGTCAAAGTGAGAGGGCTGGGCTTTCATGTCGGGTGAGCAGGGCTACGTTTGTCATTTTAAGAAAGTTTAAGAGCTAGGCTGGTGCTGTTAGCCAGGAGAAGGCTGCCTTACTCTTGGAGATCTGGGCTGGAAGCAGAACCTAGAAAGAGAATGTCCGTGGTCTTGGAAAAGGCACAGCCTTCCTTCCAGTTCTTGTGAAACAAGTTGGTGGGGTGGGGCAGGTACACTGTCTGCTATCTGTTCACTGCCTCTGTGCTCAGACCCAAACCACGTCAACTCAGAGAGCTATTTGGAAAGCTTGGGAGTCCAGACTAGCCCTTATCTCAAGGCTCAAGAAAGTTCTGCTTCTCAAGACTTTCCGGGTCACTGAGTTCTTTTAGAAGTGATTGAAACAGAGATGCAGATGCTGGTGTCAGTCTGAGCCTGGGCCCAGACTAGCAGAGTCTTTGCTAAGACTGATGAAATTCGAGTCCAAGTGAAGTGTCTTTAGCTAAAAGGGGCCAAGTCTGATTTTCAGACATCAGGGGGCCTCTTCCTTCACAGAAGGAAGTCCTCCTGGGACTTGATATGTGGAGGGGGTTTGCTGTTTTCAGAAGCCAAGCTGGCAGAATCCAAGCTTTGTTAGGCCCCACCAAGTTGGAAAGCTTTGAGGTTGGCCTGTTGTCTAAGGCAGAGGCTTATTTGTCTACTGCCAGTTTGCCCACAGAGCACTGAGGGACTTGTGTGGCCACTGCAACCCCAGCTAGCTTCTCCCGTGTCCTGACAGCCTGAGTTGGTGAGCAGCCCTGCTTACCCCACACAGGGTCTCTGGAGCATGAGTTCAGGGTCTGTTTGAGTGGTCCTCAGAAGCATAAGAGTTAGACAGACTTTCTGTCCTTTCCAGGCTAGCCTTCTCTTCGTATCTATCATTTCCTACAGCAATGTCCACATATAAGCGATGGGATTCCACAGGGTTCCCTTTATGGCCTTGCCTGGCTCACTCCATGTCCATGGTGACTGAATCTCCTGTCCCCAAAGTGTAGGAAGTTTTCATGATTAATTCAGATGTCCAACGACTTCCTCCTGCTGTCCTGGCCTGCGTTTTCATTTTTATGATGCTCCACTGGCTAATGGCCAAGCTCCATAATCCTCACAGGAAGCACCTTTCTCTAAGTTCACTGTTAAGAAAACAGGAGAGGCTGCTGAGGGGAGATTCTTAATCCTTCCATTCTGTATCGCCCTGGCACAGGGGACAGTGCCAAGGACAAAACCAGAAGGTTGTGAGGCCGCCGTTGGTCTTCCCAAGCTTCCCCAGCATCCCTGAGTGACGCTCCTGGAGAAGATGCCCCGCTCTTAGGGACTTCGCTCGCCCTAAGCCCCACACAAAATTTTGACGGTGTTCGGGAGGAGGCCACAACTTCCTAGTAGCTGGGGAAAGGCCTAGTGCAGAGTGGTATGAGTCCATGTAGAGTCACAGAACCACAGAATAGCAACACTGAAGGGAAGCCTAGAACAGAGACCAGCTGAAAGGGAAGTCAGAACTAACACCCATTTTTAGGTGGGGAAATTGAGGCCTTAAGAGGTGGTTAATCTATAGGAAGTGTCGATCGGGGCGTTTCTGTATTTGTTCTAACACACTTAATACTAAGGATTTAGGAACCAAAATTTGGTATTTTTCTTTAGCCATCATATGTATTTCTGTATGGACCTTCAGGTCTGCCTCTACTATTTCCAAATCAGGAGCATCCATTAACTGTCTTCAAGGATAATTCCTACCTTTTTGACTGGAAGAAATATCACTTATGTGCAGCACTCAACTCGAATATCGGTTTGGAAGAAGGTACAGCTCACTCTTGGAAAACCCCGGAGGTGGGAAGAGGGGAGGGCGGAATCGTAGATGGCCAAAGTGGGCAGAAGTCGAGCCTGCTCCCTGATTTGTTCTGCTGGGCCTCCTGGGGTGGGCCCAGGAGCAGTGGGGAGAAGCTAAAGAGAAGCAGCTCAGGCTGGATGTCAGGAACAATGTCGTGGTGACTGCAGCTGTCCAGCAGCCAAAGGGGCTGCCTCGGGGCGGGGAGCGAGTTTCCCCTCACCCAACAGGAGGTTTTCAGAGAGAGCCTGGGTGACCACCCAGGAGAGAGCCTTCCTGGCCATGTTCGAGTTGGTCCAGGTGCCACTGTCCTCTTTCAGCTCTCACCTCTATGAGCTGTGGTGCCAGTTTAGCCAGGCCCAAAAAGGAGGCACCACATGCCAAAAGGTCTGGCAGCCAAGCAGATTAAATGCAGGGCGGCATTACGCGTTCTTACTATTAATAGCTGGAGTTTGTTTCTGACTGTCGTGTTTATGTAATCAATCCGTTCCATGCAGGTATGTGCACAGAATGCAGATCTGTAGCTCTGCATGTCCCTCTGATTAAAGCTTAGCAAGGCACCAAATACGCCAGGTAACAGGAATATGGAAGTACCTGGCTGAATCAGGGAGACTTCAGGGCTCTTAACTTCAACATTATGTAAATTCTACCTTGCCTGAAATCCAGGGGGGAGCTGGGACAGGTGAATCCAGCAGATCATGGTGACCAGTGGGAGAGAGAGATCCCAAAGCGTTGGTTGCCATACTGGGGAAGGAAAGGCAGCGTCCAAAAGTGACAGGCAGAGTCCTAGGTAGAGAAGTGATCCTAGGGACGGGACTATTTTTTTCTGTAGTGCTCAGCTGTTTCAGAATGAAATAAAGGTTCTAGAGAATAACGTTTGTGTTCTCTGTGATTAGTAGACTGATATTTGGTCATAAGACAACAGGCCCCCAGAGAGAGGTGGGTGGTTCTCCACCTCTCAGAGGAGCAGAGGGGTTTAATGACAAAGAGGTCAGTTAGGCAAATCCCAGGGGCTTTTGTCTTTTCTGCTTTAACTTTTGTTTTCAGACTTTCCAGTTTTTCACCCTTTTACAGTCTGTGGGGCTGCTCTGAATTGTCTGGTAGTGAGCCTGGAACTTATTCACTTCTTAGGGCATAAACCATATTGGGAAAGGTTTTCTGATCCCACGCGGTTCTGGGGCCCAGGGCCAGGAGCCTTGGGTAGAATCCTGGTGATTTAGGATTTTAGGCTTTTATGGCTCTTTTCTGGGGGCCCTAGCTATCATAACTGCATTGTGCCTTCCCAGTTTTCTGTGCCACCTGACTCTGTTCTGCATGGATTCCATCAGGCAGACATTATTGACTTTATCTTATAGATGCGGAAGCTGCCTCCCTCCATCTTTCTGTTCCCCGTTCAGCATAACCTTCATTGCTAGGGCAGACTTTTTAGCCCTAAGACATTTGAAAATTTTGCTTATCTTAAAACGTCCCGTAATATCTCGTTCTTAAGATCTGGTGCTTCCCGATGTGAGTTACTGGATTGAGTCCCATGAGAGGAGACGGCCCCCGGACTCGGAGGAACGTGTTCTGCTGCTCTTTCTCATGGTGGATTTCCACGGTGGATTCCCAGCTCAGCTGACGGAGGCCTGGGGTAGGTGGAGACCAGAACTGTCCATTCATGGCCACGGCTTCAGCAAACAGTGACATGTCCCCAGGATTCTGATCTATGACGTGCTGGAAGCATGGACCTTATGCAGCACGGTCAACACTGCTAAGTGAATTAAACGGACTTTTCTCTAGCATTTTGAAAAAGAATTCTCTTCGACACATTACCTAAATGCCTATGTACTCCCAGGTCTCCCAGCACCCTCTGCAGCCCTCCTCCCATGTCTTCGATGCCAAGGTCAGAGTCAGCACAGGTGCCAAGTGGTCCTCCCTCAACTTGGTGCCCTCCCTCGGACACTCCCCGTTTTATCCTGTAGGGGGCTGTCTCTGTGTTGTCTCTGTTCCCCCACCTCCACCCCAGACCCCCATTAGACTATGAGCTCTTGGGAGCTTTTCTTTGAATCCCCAATGCTTAGAACAGTGTCTGGCATAGAGTCGGGGCTTAATAAATGCTTGTTGACTTGAAGAAGACCAGGGTTCAAATCCTGCCTCAGACACTTACAACCTGTGTTGTTAACTAGCCCATTTAGACAACCATTTCCTCATCAGTAACCTCACAAGTTTCTTCTGGCTTTAAGCCTCTGCTCCTCTGAAGCTAGAAAGGTTTCAAGTACAGGTTTGTGAGAGATTTTTATTCTGTTGGCCAAAGACCGGTCTTGCCAAAGTCACAGAGGCTCACCATCAGGTTGGTGGTGGGGGTGAGGGGGTATTTTTTAGTCTCAGCAACTCTGGGAGATTTTCTGCCCAGTTTTAGAGGGGTTTGGGATCTGTGTTGGCGGAGGGAGAACCCCCTCTGATGAGATCAGAGATCCTGAAACCAGCCAGTATGTTTCCCCTGCTGCTGAGGTGGACCCCCCTCCCTTGGGAGCCTGCCTGAGGCCAGTGGCCTTCACACACAGGTTGTACCACATGATGCCATGGAAAGAATGCTGGACTTGGAGTCTGAGGTCCTGGGTTCAGGTCATGCTGCAGCCTCGCAGTTGTATAACCTCTATAAAATGAGGGCTTGGGGGAGATCTCTGAGGTCTGTGACAACTCCAAGTTGCTGTGTTTCTGGGAGTGCTGTTCACTCACTCGTTTGCAGGCCTATGATAGGATTCAGCCCTCTATAATGATCAGAACCAGGGTGTGATGGCCCCCACAACTGACACAACAGATCCTGAAGCAAACCACGAGCCTTTGTTCTGAGGAGAGAAGGGCCTGCCCGAGCTCAGGCGAGCGCTCACACCTGGGGGTCATGTGCCTCTTCTTGGTATTTCAGGAAGGGCCTGAACTCTTGGAGCCCCGAAACTAGAAGGAGAGGGCTCCTCACCCTGTCCATTAATCGATCAACAAACATTTATCCAGTACCCAGTAGGTACCAGGCTCTGTACTAATAAGTGCCAGGGATCCTATCTCCCCGCCTTGCCCTCTCACCAGGCACTCCAGCCCCTGCCCTGGGGCTCTGGGCTGCTGGCTGGTAAGAGATGAACCCCCACACTGCTCTCTTGCCTTTGCTGCCCTCCCTCACCACCTTGTTCCGCTGGCTTCCAGGCTCCCACCACCTCCCTGTGACTTTAACAATTCAGTTTTATTTTATTTTCTGTTCCAAAGTCTCTCCCCTCTTTCTCTCCCTTCTCCACCCATTGAGAAGGCAAGAAAAACAGAACCATTATAAATAGACATAGTCATGCAAAACATTAGCCCTGCCCCCCCAAAAGAAAAGGAAGAGAAGAAAATAAGCTTCCATCTGTACTCTGAGTCCGTCAGCTCTTTATCTGGAGGTGTATGCCATATTTTACCACTAGTCCTTTGGGATTGTGGATTGGTCATTCTGTTGATTGGAGTTAATTAAATCTTTCAAACACTTTGAAAGTGCTCTGGCCCTCAAGTCAGGGAGACCTAAGTTCAAATCTAGTCTCAGACACCTATTAGCTGAGTGTCCTTGAGCAAGTCACTTCACAACTCTGTTTGCCTCAGTTTCCTCAACTGTAAAATGAGGAGAATAACAGCACCCACCTTGCACTGTGGTTGTAAGGATTAAATGAGACGGTATTGGTAAAGTATACAGTACCTGATACATCACAGGTGCTATGTAAATATTTATTCTCCTTCCCCCTTTTAGAGTTTGATTAGCTTTGTAGTATTGCTGTGATTGTATACCTTGTTCTCCTGGTTCTGCTAACTTCACTTTGCATCACTTCATATAGGTCTTCCGAGGTTTTTCTGAAACTATCCTCTTCATCATTTCTTACAGCACAAGAGTATCCATCACATTCATATACCACAACTTGCTCAGCCATTCCCCAGTTGATGGGCATTCCCTCAATTTCCAATTCTTTGCCATCACAAAAAGAGCTGCTATAAATATTTTTGTACCTCTGAGTGCCATTTGAACTATCTTTGATCTCTGGTGAATAGACCTAGTAGCAGTATTACTGGGTCAAAGGGCATGCACAGTTTAATGGCTTTTTTGGCCTAGTTTTAAATTGCTCTCCAGATCACTTAGGCCAGTTCACAGCTTTACCAACAGTGCACCGAAGTACCTGTTTTCCCACAGCTTCTCTGGCATTTGTCATTTTGCTTTTTTATTAACTTGACCGCTCTGATGGATATGAGGTGGTACTTCAGAGTTGTTTTAATTCGTATTTCTTAAATTGTTAGCGATTTAGAGCATTTTTCATGTGACAATTGATAGCTTAGATTTCTTCATTTGAAAATTGCCTATTCATATCTCTCGACCATTTATTAGTTGAGGAATGACTCTTATTCTTATAAATTTGGCTCAGTTCCCTGTATATCTTAGAAATGAGATCATTATCAGAGAAACTTGCTGCAAAGATTCCCCCCCAGATTCCCAATTCTCTTTTAATTTTACCCGTATTGATTGTGTTTGTGCAAAAACTTTTAAATTTTATGTAATCAAAATTGTCCACTTTACCTCCTGTGAACCTCCCTGCCTCTTGTTTGATCATGAACCCTTCCCCTGGCCATCTGTTTGACAGGTAATTTCTTCCACGCCTCACTAATTTGCTTATGAGGTCACTTTATGTCTAGATCATGGGCCCAGTTGGACTTATCTTGGGGAAACGTCGGTCTAGACTTATTTTTTGCCAGACTACTTTCTGGTTTTTGTTGAATAGTGATTTCTTTTACTCATAGCTGGGATCTTTGGGTTTATCAAACACTAGGATACTGTGCTTATTTGCATCTATATGTTGTGCATCTAATCTGTTTCATTAATGAGCCTATTTCTTATCCAATGCCAAATTGTTTTCACAATTACAGCTTTGTAGTATAGTTTGGAATCCGATACTGCTAGGGCCCCTTCCTTGTTGTTCATTTGTCTCAGTTGCATCCAAGTCTTCATGCCCTTGTTTAGGGTTTTCTTGGCAAAGATTCTAGAACGGTTTGCTATTTCCTTCTCCACTTTATTTTACAGATGAGGAAACTAAGGCAAATAACTTGCCCAGGGTCAAACAGCAAGTACTGAACTCAAGAAGATTAGTCTTCTGACTCCAGGCCTGGCACTCTATCCACTGTGCCACCTAGCTGCCCATTTAATTAGTATAGCACTAAATTAATTAATTAATTAATTTTGGTAATATTGTCACTTTTATGATATTGGCTCAGCCTACCCATAAGCAATCAACATTTCTCCAATTATTTAGATGGCTTTATCTGTACGGAGTGTTTTGTAATGGTGTTCATATAGTTTTTGTGTCTTAGAAGGTAGACTCCCAAGTATTTTGTATTGTCTGTAGTTATTTTTCAGTGGAATTTCTCTATCTCTTCCTTCTGGGTTTTATTGGTAATAATCAGAAATGTTGATGATTTGTGTGGGTTTATTTTATATCCAGCAACTTTACTGAAATTTTTACTCATTTTGATTGGGTTTTTTTTTTTGTGGTGACTCTCTAAGTTTCTCTAAGTGAATATAATCTGCAAAGAAGTAACGGTTTTGTTTCCCCATTGCCTATGCTTATTCCTTCAATTTCTTTTTCTTGCTTTATTGCTATAGTATTTCTGGTACAATATTGAATGGGGATAATGGGCATACTTACTTCAGTCCTGTTCTTATTGGAAAGGCTTCTAACTTATCCCCCTTACATTTAATGCTTGCTCTTGTACTACTTATTTTAAGAAGGGCTCCATTTATTCCTATGCTCTCTGAAGTTTTTAACAGGAATGGGTGTTGTGTTTTGTCAAAAACTTTTTCTGCATCTATTAATACAATTGATCGTGTTTACAGTTTTCCCCATATTGAACCAGTCCGGCATTCCTGATAAAGTTTAGCCTAGTTATAGTATATGGTCTTTATGATACATTGCTGTAGTCTCCTAATATTTTATTTAAAATTTTTGCATTATTATTTATTAAGGAAATTGGTCAATAATTTTCTTTCTTTTTAAAATCTTCCCAGTTTAGGTATTAAGACTACATTTGTGGACAATAAAACTGTGCGTACCCTTTGGCCCAGCAATGCCACCACTAGGTCTATACCCCAAAGAGATCAAAGAGAAAGGAAAAGGACCTACATGTACAAAATTATTTATAGTAGCTCTTTTAGTGGTAGCAGAGATATGGAAACTAAGGGTATGCTCGTCAATTAAGGAATGGATGAACAAGTTGTGGTATATGATTGTGATGGAATTATTGCTGTGCCATAAGAAATGCTGAAAGGGATGGGTTCAGAAAGGCCTAGGAAAATTTACACGAGCTGATGCAAAGCAAAGTGAGCAGAACCAGGAGATCGTTGTAATGACGGTCAACGGTGAAGGACTTCGCTGCTCTGATCAATACAATGATCTACAACATTCTAAAGGACTCGTGATAAAAAATGGTGTCTGTCAACCTCCAGAGAGAACCAACACACGCGGGCATTTTTCTTCACATTGTTTTTCTTGCTTTTCTTTTTCTCACAAGCTAACGTGGAAATGTTTTGCATGACTTCATATGTACAATGGGTATCATATTTCTTGACTTCTCAATAGGTGGGGGAGGTACTGGAGGGAGAGAGAGAGAGATTTTAGAACTAGAAATAAAAAGTTTAAATAAAAAACTGTCATAGAAGGAATTTGGTAGGGCCTCCTCCTTGTTTACCTATTTTTTTTCCAAACAGTTTATGTAGTTTTGGAATTAATTGTTCTTTTAATATTTAGTAGAGTTTGTTTAGTATCTTTGCCAAGAAAACCTCAAGGAAGGCATTGGCATGCTATGGTCTACCGGGTCATGAATAGTTGGACACAACTGAATTACAAGCAAGAATTTGTTTGTCAATCTAACTACCCCTGGGTTATTTTTTTTCCCTTTGAGAGTTCATTTATGGCTTGTTCAATTTCTTTTTCTAAGATAGGGTTATTGAAAAATTGTATTTCGTGCTCTGTTAATCTAGGCAATTTATATTTTTGTAGGTATTCATCTATTTCACTTAGATCATGTTTTACAGGCATATAGTTGGGGGAAAGGTCACCTAATAATTGCTACTATTTCTTCTTCAGTGGTTGTAAATTCACTTTTTTCATTTTTAATATTGGTAATTTGATTTTCTTCTTTTTTTTAAATCAAATTAGTTAATGGTTTATCTGTTTTACTGTTTTTGTCTTGTTTTTTAAACAGCTCTTAGTTTTATTCAGTTTTTTTTTTTTACTTTAGATTTTGTTAATCTCTGCTTTGATTTTCAGGATCTCTATTTTGGTGTTTAATTGGGAGTTTTTAATTTGTTGGTTTTCTAGTTTTTTTTAGTTGCATGCTCAGTTCATTGATTTGCTCTTTCTTTCATTGATGAGCAAGTAGGCCAGTATATTTAGACAATAGATTGAGAGAAAACAAAACTATTCTCAGGCCCTTTGTGTTATTTAACTCTGTGTTTCTTGATGACACTAGAATCTAAACATAGCATCTTTCTGATTGCTCACTTATATTTGTCTTTTTGTGTTTCTCTTTTTTCATGTTTTTTTTTTTTTGTTTTAGTTTTCATTTTGGTTTTGGTTTTTTTTGGCAAGGCGATCCGGGTTAAGTGACTTGCCCAGAATCACACAGCTAGTTAGTATCATGTGTCGGAGGCCAGATTTGAATTCAGGTCCTCCTGACTCCAGAGATGGTGCTCTATCTGCTGTTCCACCAGCTGTCCCTTTGTGTTTCTCTTGACTTAGAGTTTCTCCTCAGCTCTGATCTTTTCATCCAGAATGATTGACAGTCCTCCATTTCATTGAAGGCTTATTTTTTCCCCTGTAAGATTATACTCAGTTTTGCTGAATATGTTATTCTTGGTTTCAAACCTTTATCTTTTGCCTTTTGGAATACAATGTTCTAAGCTTTCCACTTCTTTGTCATGGTAGCTACTAAATCTTGTGTGTTCCTGACTGTGGCTCCTTGACACTTGCATTCTTTCTTTCTGGCTGCTTGCAGCATTTTTTTCTTTGAGCTGGAAGATCTAGATTTTGACTATGATGTTCCCGGGAGTTTTCATTTGCATTTCTTTCAGGAAGTGACCAGGAGATTCTGTTTTCACTTTGCCCTCTGGTTCTAATAGATCTGGGAAATTTTTCTTCATTATTTCTTGAAATAAGATATCCAGGACATTTTTTTGATCGTGACTTTCATGTAGTCCAGTGATTCTCAAATTATTTTTCTTTGATCTGTTTTCCACTGTTATTCTGTTTTGGTCTGTTTTCTACTGTAATCTGTTATTCCATTGTTGATCTGTTTTTTGATAAAAGATACATTTTATTCTGTTTTTTAGTCTTTTGACTTCGTTGTAATATTTATTGTTTTCTCATTGTTGAAGCTGTAACATGTACGGTGACCATACCCCAGTCAAACTGTCTCAGCAGACAGCCTAAACCAGGTTGAGGATAACCAAAGGGCCTCAAACCCATCAGTGAGTTAGGGGGTGTCTACCCCAAGCATGTGAAGACTTCCCCTGGTAGAGTGAGCAGATGAGAACAATTTGTTCCAGCGGTCGCGAAAATGGCAGAAGCAGGTGCTATGGAGTGCTTAGAGCTTTGTCAGACATGGAAGACGCCAAGGTCATCCCAACTTTTGTCCTGCCACTGGACTTCGATGACACAGGAAGAGAGAGTGAAGCTGATGACTTTGTGCAGCTGTGCCTCACTTCAATCCAAGGCACGCAGGAGTCAAGACATCCCCCAATGTCATTGGTCCCCTTTGAAAATGAAGGACTAACAACACTGTCGTCTCATGGAGTCATTGACTTCTAATTTGGTCCATTCTGATTTTCAGGGAATTCATTGCTTAAGCAATTCTTGTGCCGAGCTATTAAATCCCTTTCCTATTCTTTCTTCCATTGCTCTCATTGCTTTTATTTTTCCTCTAGCACTCTCCTTTCATTGATAAAAGACATTTTTTGATACAAGACATTTTTTTTTAACACTTGCTTCGTTTCTTCAGAAATTCTAGGTGGTCTCGTGTCTAAGATCTGCTTTCCTTTGAGTCTTTGCTTGTAGATGTTTTAGAGTTATCATCTTCTTCTGGGTTTGTGTCCCAGCTGTCCTTGACACTGTAATAGCTCTTTATTGTGGGGGGGCCCCACTTTCTGAATTAGGGACAGTCTCTGTGTACTTCTGGAGTGAATAGTGGGACTTTTTTTGGTTCTGGTTCATATTCCCTGGGATCCTGCCACTGTTTTCTGCAGGTGTAACAGCTGCCTCTTCATCTCTGCCTCCTGGATTCTCTGGCTTCCTTTAAGTCCCAACCAAAATGCCACCTTCTGCAAAAAGCCTTTCTGGGTGTTCCTTAATGCTGCTGTCTTCTTTCTGCTGATTATCTCCAGCTTATCATGTATATTTCTTATCTGACAGAGTTGTCTGAACATGGTCTGTCCATTAGACTGTGAGCACTCTGAGAGGAGAGACCGTTTGGTTTTTGCCCTTCTTTGTGTCTCCAGTGCCTAGCTCAGTGCCTGGCACATCGTAACTTTTGTTGTCGTTCGGTTGTTTCAGTCACGTCCAATTCTTTGTGACCCCATTTGGGGTTTTCTTGGCAGTGATGCTGGACTGATTTGCCATTTCCTTCTCCAGTTCATGTTACAGATGAAAAAACTGAGGTAAACAGGGTAAAGTGACTTGCCCAGGGTCCCCCAGCTAGGAAGTGTCTGAAGCCAGATTTGAATTCAAGATGAGTCTTCTGAACTCCAAGCCCAGTGCCACCTGCCTTAGGAAGAAAGATCTGAATTCAAATCTGGCCTCAGACCTTTAAGTCATTTAAACACCATTTATCTTTTCTTTAATGTTAAAATGGGGATAATAATAGCAGCTGCCTCAAAGGATCAGTTAGATAAGATCAGTAAGTGCTAAATAAATGCCGATTCCCTTCTTGGTGTTAGAGGACCTACGTGTTCATTGGTTGGGGAATGGCTGATCAGCCTGTGAGATGTGACAGTGATGGGAGCCATTGCACTCTCCAAAACAACAAAGATGGCAGATTGATAGAGATGTGGGAGGACGTGATTGAACTGATGAGTGAAGGGTGCAGATACAGGAAACTAATCTGCCCAGAGATGAAGGCAGCACTCAGATGTGGCAAACCTGACTACTGTGAATGCTCAGTGTGGGGGCCATGAAGGGTCCTCTTCTGTCAGTAGAAAGATGTGGTGTGTCCTGTATACCGCTGGCCTCATTTCTGCGTCGGATGGTTTTACTTGAATGTTTGTCTTTGTTACAAAGAAGGATTCAGTGGGGAGAGGGCACAGTACACTGGGGACTGATTGGTAGAAAAACCAAAGACATCAGCAAAACTTTAAAGAAATGTTTGTTGAGTGAGTAAATGAATGACTCATCCTAAGTCAGGGCTATTCATCTTCTCTCTCCCTTTAGGGTTACAGTCTTTGCTTCTAACTCATCTGAATAGCATCCTGCTGGAGAACCAGAGCCTGGTACAGGGTGCTGTACAGACAGCTGTGGATCAGGCCTTGGGGCAGCACCACCGGGGAGTCAAGGTGAGAGAAGGAAACGGGCTTCCTTGGCTTCATGTCCCTTCCCCTCTTCTCCCCTCTGGCTAGGAGGAGAGGCTAACACGGAGGTGATGGGGGGGCTGGCTGGGGAACTGAACCCCCCATCCCACTTCCCCTCTCCCCTTGAGCTTTACCAGGTCCTGCCGCTCCCCACCCTTCCCAACCCCGCCTCCAACACAGTCTGCAGCTCCCCTTGGCCAGAGCCCAGTTGGACCTGGACAAGAGACACTTAGCACAGCCTCAAACAGGAACTGATAATGTGTGCACCTCTACACCCACACATGAATGCATACAATCCACATGTGTACAACATGCATACAATAATACACATCACATGCACTACACATGCATGCACACACCCATGGCACACATATATACATGTGTGCGCACGCACACACACACACACAAACACTATACATCACCGACCTCTCCACCAGGAGTTGCTGTTTGTCTCTCTGTCTCATAAGTTTTCTTTCCTTCTATTTGTCATCACCAACTCACCTCACTTGCTTGGTTTCTCTATCCTGTTGTCTTGGTATTTCCCTTCTCGTTTCATCAGTACTTTTCGGGGCAAAAAAGAGCTCTGAAGTGGCAAAAACTGACAAGTTTTCGTTTCTGAAAGTTCTTATTGTTCTGGGTCTTTGTCAAAAAGGCTGTTATTTGAGGGCAGAAAACTTTCCTAGGATTCCTTGAAATGTCCAGGTATTCTTAGAATGTCACACATTGAGTAGATGTTTCTTCTCTATCCTTTGGGTCCTTCTGCCCAACCTTACCCTTGAGACCCATGGCTCTCATAAGGCCTCCTGGGTGGGGGGGGGGTCATGATACTAACGGCCCTCTTCCCTTATTTCCCATTCTTTTTAGGCCCAACAGAAATTGCAGGCATCCATCCCAGTGGCCGTGAACTCCATCCTCAGTATTGTGGCTGGCAGCACCTGCAGCAGCTTTCGGGCTCTTTGCCTCCAGACCCTTCAGGTTAGCAGGAAAGTGTCATTGTGGCTACAGCATTCTGGAGGGATACTCGGGTTCTAGCCCTGCCCTCATGCTCCTTAACACATGGAAGGATGGGGGCAGCTAGGTGGCGCAGTGGATAGAGCTGTGTGACCCTGGGCAAGTCACTTAACTCCACTGCCTAGTCCTCCCCCCCCAAAAAAAACCCAAAAAAACGACACATGGAAGGATATTGGCTGAGTCACTTCCCTCCTGGAACTCTCGGTGTCTTCATCTATAAGATGAGGGAGTTGCACTTGGTGGCCCTGTATAGATCCTTCTAGGTCTAACAGTGCAGGGTTCTTTCGTTTCTTAGGGCTTTTGACCTTTTTTTTTTTTTAACATTTGTTTTTAAAATTTTGGGTTTCAAATATTCTCCTTTCCTCCCTCCACATCCACCCTCATTGAAAAGATAAGCAACTTGATACAGGTTATACATGTGTAGTCATGCAAAATACTTCCATAATTAGTCATGTTATGAAAAACTAAATATATTTCCCTTCATCCTATCCGCCCCCCATTTATTCTATTCTTTCTTTTGACCCTGTCCCTCCTCAGAAGTGTTTGCTTCTGATGACCCCCTCCCCCAATCTGCCCTCTCCTCTTATCATCCCCCTGCTCTCTTGTCCCCTTCCCCCCCTATTTTCTGTAGGGTAAGCTAGATTTCCATACCCAATTAAGTGTGTATGTTATTCCCTCCTTAAGCCAAATCCTATGAGAATAAGATTCACTTATTCCATCTCACCTTCCCCTATTTCCCCTCCACTGTAAAAGCCTTTTCTTGTCTGTTTTATGTGAGATAATTTACCCCATTCTGCTTCTCCCTTTCTCCTTCTCCCAGTATAATCCTCTCTCACCCCTTAATTTTATTCTCCAGATATGACCCCTTCATCTTCAACTCATCCTGTGCCCTCTATTTATCTAACTATATATACATACATATAATTTTTCCATCCAACTACCCAATACTAACAAAGGTCTCATGAGTTACAAATATCTTTCCATGCAAGAATGTAAACAGTTCAACCGTAATAAGTCCCTTATGATTTCTCTTTCCTGTTTACCTCTTCATGCTTCTCTTGAGTCTTGTATTAGAAAGTCAAATTTTCTATTCAGCTCTGCTATTTTCATCAAGAATGCTTGAAAGTCCTCTATTTCACTGAATGTCTATTTTTCCCCTGAAGGATTATACTCAGTTTTGCTGGGGAGGTGATTCTTAGTTGTAATCCTATCTCCTTTGGCCTCTAGAATATTATGTTCCAAGCCCTCCGGTCTCTTAATGTAGAAGCTTCTAAATCTTGGGTTATCTTGATTGTGTTCCCACAATATTTGAATTGTTTCTTTCTAGCTGCTTGAAATATTTTCTCTTTGACCTGGGAACTCTGAAATTTGGCTACAGTATTCCTAGGAGTTTTCCTTTGGGGATCTCTTTCAGGAGGTGATCGGTGGATTCTTTCCATTTCTATTTTACCCTCTAGTTCTAAAATATCAGGGCAGTTTTCCTTGATAATTTCTTGAAAGATGATGTCTAGGCTCTTTTTTTGATCATGGCTTTCAGATACTCCAATAATTTTTAAATTATCTCTCTTGGATCTATTTTCCAGGTCAGTTGTTTTTCCAGTGAGATATTTCACATTGTTTTCTATTTTTTCATTCTTTTGGTTTTGTTTTACAGTGTCTTGATTTCTCATAAAGTCACTAGCTTCCAATTGCTCCATTCTAATTTTTAAAGAGTATTTTCTTCAGTAAGCTTTTGGACTTCCTTTTCTATTTGGCCAATTCTGCTTTTTAAGGCAGTCTTCTCCTCATTGGCTTTTTGGACCTCTTTTGCCATTTGGGTTAGGCTATTTTTTAAGGTGTTATTTTCTTCAGTATTTTTTTGGGTCTCCTTTAGCAAGCTGTTGATTTGTTTTTCATGATTTTCTTGCATCACTCTCATTTCTCTTCCCAGTTTTCCTCTACTTCCTCCTACTTCTCAAAATCTTTTTTGAGCTCTTCCATGGCCTGGGACAAATTCATATTTTTCTTGGAGGCTTTGGATGTAGGGGCTTTGACTTTGTTGTCTTCTTGTGATTGTATGTTTTGATTTTCTTTGTCACCAAAGAAAGATTCTATGGTCTGACTTTTTTTTTGCACAGTTTGCTCATGATCCCAGCCAATTACTTGAGTTATAAACTGTTAAGGTAGGGGTCTGCTTCCAGGGTGGAGAATGTACTGTCCCAAGCTTTGGGGGTTTTGTGCAGCTTTTTTCAGAGATACTTCTAGGGACCTGTAAATTTTCAGTTCTTCCAAGGTGGTACGATCAGGGGTAAGGTGTTTACTCCTTTCCTGGCCTGTCCACTGCTCTATGAGTGACCACAAGCACTCTTTTCTGCCTTGGAACTGTGAGGAGGATTCCCCCTCCACTGCCACTACAAGCTCTACCATGCCAACACTCCTCCTCGCCCCAGGATCGCCACCCAGAACAAAGATCCAAGCACAGGCAAAGCAAGAGAATCTTGCCTCAGCACCAGCCAAGAGATCCCTGCAATCCCCCTCTGATCAGCCACTTGATTCCCCCTCCATCTGTGGGCTGAGAGTTCTGGAAGCAGCCGCTGCCGCAGGGCTGTGCTGGAACTGGGGCTGGGACTGAGCTTCTCTCTCACTGCGGTCACAGACTTTTCCCACTGACCTTCTAAGTTCTCTTTGGTGTTTGTGGGTTGAGGAATCTGGAAACTGCCCAGCTGCCTGTGATTCAGTCCTCTGAGGGCTGCTCCAGGTTGGCTGAGGCCTATTTTGTCTCCATGCCCATGCTGAGCTGCACTCCTCTCCCTGCCTGGAAATTTGTTTCATTCTTTTTGTGGGTTCTGCTGCTTTAGAATTTGTTTAGAGCCATTTTTTACAGGTATTTGGAGGAGTTTGGGGGAGAACTCAAGCAAGTCACTGCTTTTACTCCACCATCTTGGCCCTGCCCCCTGGCTTTTGATCTTTTTAAGGCATTTTGACATGGATCCTTTCATCCTCACAATCCCTCAGCATTTGGGGCAGCGTGGTGAATGTCGTGTGCCCTGTGGACTGACTGTGTGACCCCAGGCGAGTCATGGAACCCGTCCAGGTCCCAATCAGCCAGTCAGAAAGCACTGTGCCAGGCACTGTTGGGGGAACTGGGAATGCAAAGACAAAACATGAACCATTCCTACTCCTAGGGAACTTCCGCCCCGGGCATCTCTGGCTGTCGGGTACGAAGCAGGTGCCAGGCTGTCCCAGTGCACCAGTGCTCCTTGTTAGCAGTGGTCTTCATCGACAAACCCACAGATGTGGTCCCTTCCACCCCCTAAAACAATAGCAGGGACAACAACAGGGAAGGGCCTGGGACAGAGATTGTCATTCCTGTGTGAGAGAGGAAGACACAAAGGCTCAGGGTAAGGGATTGCCTCATCCTGGGACCTGGTCAGTATGTGAGGATGTTTGTGTGTGATGTACTGGGGCATGGCGTGTGAATACGTGTGTGTACATGAATGTGTGTGTAGTCATGTGTGAGTGTATGTGTTTGGGTGGTTTGTGTGTATGTAGATATATGTGGGGTACATATGAATGAATGTATGCGTGTGGGCGTGTCTGAATATGTATGTGAACAGGGGTATATGTGTGTGTGATTGTGTCTATGTGAGTGTGTGGTGTGTGTAAGTATAGCATATGCATGTGTGTGTGTGGCGTGTGTGTGTGTGTGTGTGTGCATGCGTGTGTGGTACCCCACAGACCTCTGGCCTCAAAGCTGGAACGAGGATTTCTGACAAGATGGCGGGAAGACAGGTGGGGGTGGGAGAGCTTGGTCAGAGGCCCAGGTCCCTGGCACAGGCCCTGCTCTTCTTCACTGGCCTGGACCCCCCCCAACAGATGGGGGCCAGACTGGCCATTGAGGATCCAACGACAACAATCCAGAGAGGCCCTGCCCTCAGGGACCTTCTGCTTGGCCCAGCTGTTTGACCCACACACAGATAAGTAAATATGAATACAGTGATTTGCACAGGAAGAATCCGGAAGGACTTCCTAGAAGAGGTGGCCCCAGAGCTGAGCTTTGAAGGAAGACACAAATTCATAGTGTTTCAGGCCCTCACTAGGGCACCACAATCCTTTTCTTCATTCCTCTTTGATGCTCTAACCCAGTGCCCTCAGACTGCTCCGACCCTCTGCCAGGCCCTTTCCTGAGCAGTGGGCTTCACCTCAGGACCATCTTGTCCTCGGGGTAGACACCTGGGAACTCCTCAGCCCTCTTGCTTCCCTCTCCCTCCTCCTGCTTGGGCTCCCGTCTGCTTCTCCCAGGTGCCTCCTCACACTGGCCTCTTCTCTCCTCCCTGCCAGGCCCCAGCAAGAGCCCTCTCAGCCCCTCATCCTCTGCTTCTGCCCAGGGTCTGCCCTGTCCCTGTTCTCAGTGATCTCTCATCTTGGACGTTGCCTTTCTCCTTCCTAACACCTGCCTCCCTTCTGTGACCCTGCCCCCCTGCTGCTCCAGTCTGACCTCTTCTCTTCCGCCTCCACTCCTTTGAGGCATTCCATGCCCACTTACTTATGTGAGTCTGTAAAATGGGGGTGAGGATAGCCTCTCCCTCCCAGAGTTGTGAGAACCAAGTGAAATAATAATTATAAAGTGCTTTGAAACTTTAAAGTGCACACAAATGTTAACTATTGTTTTCACTATCAGGAGAACAACTAGGCCTGGATATGTCGATTTGGGAGGGATGGGCAGAGGGGGCTGATGAAGTCAAGTGAGAGAGGGGCGGAGCAGAATCGTGGGGCACACCCACAGTCGGGGCATGATACGGATGACCAACCAGGTGTCCTAAGAAGGACTGGTTGGGTAGATAGAACCGAGAGGGCCGTGTCCAGATCCAGGAGGAGCCAGAGGCCTGAGAATAGGCCGTGGAGCGTGGCAGTAGCTGAAGATGGAGGGGCCGTGTCAGTTGAGTGATGATCAGGGGCACCTGCAGAGGCTTCAGAGGGAGGGAGGCAGCAGGGAGGCCCCTGCTCTGGGAGCCTGGCTATGAAGGAAGCAGAGATCAGGGGTGACAGCTGGGGGGCTGCCAGGGCCTGCTGAGGTCCTTTAAGGCATGTCAGTAGGCAGCAGAGAAGGACCTGGAAGAGAGGAAGGGATGGAAGATTGGAGGGGCATTCTGCTGGACGAGATGGACGGGGATGGGACATGACAATCCTCTTCCATGGAGAGGAGGGTTGGCCATGACCCTCTACAGCCCCCTCTGCCCGCCCACCCTGGGCGTTTGTCCACACACGTGGCTGGCTAGATGTCCTACTCAGTAAACTACAGTGGCTCCCTATTGCCTTGAGGACCAGCTCTCAAACCCTCTGGTGTTTCAGGCCCTTCACAACCTGGTCCTTGTTCTACATTACTCCACTTTCCGTTTTCTGCAGCCTTCCCTCCCTCACGCATAATCTCAGTCTCTGTGCCTGGACTGCCTTCCTTCCTCACTTCTGCTTCTTTGAATCCCTTATTTCCTTCAAAACTCAGCTCAAGCACTGTCCCACCAGGTGCTCGTCCCCTCCAGCCTCCACCCTAGAGGACCAGGTATTTATTTAGTCTGTATTTTTATACAGACACTTCTTCACCCAAAAAAAAAATTGCTTCTTTCGGGGTAGGCCAGGTTTGTTTTTGTCTTGGTATTCCCAGCACCTCGCATGATGCCTGCACACAGCAAGAACTTCCTATGTTCGTGGATTCTAGCCTCCACCCTCAGGAAGCTTCCTCCCCGTGGCCTCCACGTTGGCTTTCCTATCCTCTGGCCATGTCACCTCCTGCTAAAAACCAAACACAACCCAAACCACCTTATGTAGCTCTCCCTCTCCTCTGGAATAAAATACCAACCTTTAGGCCTCCACCTCCCTTTCTTACTCCTAGCCTCATTTCCCAGTACTCCCTAGGGTGAACTCTGCCCCTCCCCAGACGGCTGGCCTAGCTGGCAGTGTCCTACGGCCGCACTCCCTGTTTGCTCCCACACATTCGCGCTCCCAGGCTGTCCCCACCCCTGGAAAGCTCGCCCTTCTCAGCTCTGGGCTGGGATCTTTGTCTTCCAAATCCTCCCAGTTTTTAGTGTGGTCTTTCGCCCTCTCATTGGATATGATTGCTGGGACTCCTTTGTTTTGTAACTCCAGGAGTTTGTGCATAGTAGGTGCTTAGTAAATGTCTGCTCTATCAATTACGGAAGGAATTCATTCTCTGCATGGGGACTCAGCTTGCCCAGGTGCCCAGGGATGGCAGATGGCACCTTGTGTTTGGAGGAGTTTCAGTCTTCTGGTCTGGCTGGAGTAGAGAGTGCTTCCAAGGGCTGGGAAGGCACTTGGGGCACTCTGTGGAAGACATGGGGCCAGCAGTAGAAAGCTTTTCCAGAGGCTGAAGCAGAGGGTGGTCATGAGTAGAGAGGGGTCACTGAGGAGCTACTGAGGACCTGCCACCGTCTCGAGTGAAGGAGGGGAGATCACCGCCCAGGTACCTGTCAGCTCACAGGAGCTCAGGGAGTTTGGATGGATGGAAAGATGAGGTCAGTTTGGGGTGGATTCAATTTGAGACACTGGGAGATAGTGGGCAGTTGGTGGTGTGGGACTGGAACTCAGGAGAGATGTTGAGATTTGGGAGTCATCTCTATAGAGATGACCTGGGGCCCTCGGAAGCAGATGGAGGCCCACGGGAGAGAGTGCAGAAAGAAGAGAGGGCCCAGGACTGAGCCCGGAGGGACGGACACACTTTCCTAGGAAAGTGATGACAGTCCAGCAAAGGAAGCTGAGTTGGAGGAGAACTGAGGGAGACGGAGAGGATCTGGGAGGAAGAAGTCATCCTCAGGGTCAGAAGCTACAGGGGAGGATGAGTCCAGGGACGAGGCCACTGGGCTTGGTCCCTTGGAGACACTCCCTATCCCTTGGGGCAGGGGTTAGTTTGGGGAGCCAGGCTGCAAGGGGTCCAGAAGTGAGCCGGTAGTGAGGAACTGAGGCAGCAGTGAAAGGGGGGAGCCCTGACACCGGGGGCAGCCCTGGGGAAAGAGCTGTGTGACAGAGAGGCTGAAAATGGAGAGGAGGCATGGGGGCGACCCCAGAGAGAACCAGCAGATGGTCGCCTTGGAGGAAGAGCCACCAGGACCTGGGGAGAATGGGGCGTGTGACAATGCAAGGGTGTTGTGGGATGTGGAGGAGCAGAGATGCGCGGCACCCACTCCGATCCGCTGCACATGGGAGGTCCCTGGGCCTCAGTTTACTCACCTGGACTTTCTGATGTCTAGGGCCCCTTCAAGTCGGGACACTCAGTGATTCTGCACATTTGGTCCATCAGGCAGCCGACACCCAGGAGTTCAGGAGGAAACTGCACAAAGCCTTCCAGCTGACCCTGCATCGGCGCTTCCTTCATCACGCTACCAGTGACCCAAAGAAAGTGAGTATGCAGGAAGCCCCGCCCCTGGCTCCCAGGTGACCCGAAGCAGGGGCTGGGGGGAGGAGCGGCGCTGATGGAGAGGACAGTGAGGGGTGCCTGGCACCTCGGCCAGCTGTCACAATGACAGCTCAGTGGAGGCTGGGGGACCCTCCTGGATGAAGACCTGCCGGACAGGTCAGATAGCTCTGGGGAGTAAAGGTCACCCAAGCCTCGGTCCTCCAGTGCTGGCATAGCGCAACAGTGACACCTAGTGGCTTCATCTCAGAACTGCAGGTCCAGGTTGGGAATCCCTTTGCCTCTGGCTCCTCTGACCAGAAAGGGATAGTTTGGGGCCTCTATTAGTGGAAGATAACAGCTGCACTTCCTAGTGCATCTGAAGAGCTGGGAGGGCACTGATGTGACTGCTGCCCCTGCCAAAGCAAGCGAAACCTTGCCACGCGGTCATTAGTTTCACCGTGTGTTCACCACTTTCTGGTAATGAGCTGCCCTCTCTGGTGGTCTCTCCTTGAGCCTGCTGGGAAGCTTTCCTAACCGAGTCAGACCTGAAGAAGCTTGCAGGCTCCTGGCCTGGGTTCTGACACACTGCGCCTGCCACCTCAGTGAGCATGGTGGAAGGACTTTAATGGAGGACGAAAAACTCAGTGCGTGAACCCCTCAGTCCGACCCGCTGGGAGGAAGGAGACTGCTCAGGAGAGGAGTCTTCCAGAAAGACAGGGGCCTAGAAGGAAGCCGGGATGAACGGGAAAAGCATTGAAGTGCGTCCTGTGGGCCCAGTCCTGGTGTGAGGGCTGGGGACACAGCTAGGAAAGGCCAGAGGTGCCTGGCATGAAGCAGCTCCTGTTCCAGTGGGGGATAGCACACAGCTGCCACGGCCAAGCTGGCATCAGGCCGACTCTCTGGTGTCACTTCCACTGATAAAATCAGCCCAGCTCCTGATGCTGAACCACTGACGGGGCCCAGGACTGTGGGGGCCACGACTTTCTCTTCCGGCTCTCCAGTGGCCGTGGCTGCAGCCCTTGCACGACCAGGTCCCCAGGGGCCGCTTTCCAGGATAACCCCAGGACAGGGCCTCGGAAGGGCTCAGGCCCTGGGCTGTCCCCATCAGGGTCTGAGGGAGATGGGGGTCAGGAGGGGGTGGATGTTTACCTCACTCAGCTGGCACAGGCTGCCTCTTCTGTCTCCCTCCTTCAGAATCAAAGCATGGAAGAGGCAGACCAACCCCACCCGTGCCTTTTCAGGGGGGCTCTCGCCCCTGGAATGCTCTCTTGTCTTGCCACCAACTCTTAGAAAGCAGGCCTCAGGCTGCAGCCCACAGGAATGAGGCTTTCTCAGGGAAGCACGAGTCCTATGTGAAGGACTCCAGGGATGGTTTCTTTGTAGGTGGAGAACCCCAGAAATGGGTGTCTGCTCCCTCCTGGAGGCCAAACACTGTCTTTCACCCCGGTCACCTCTAGGCCTGTGTGCTTCCCTCTCTTCTCCTCTGGACATGTAGCTGGGCACTGCCTGAAACTCTCCCCCTTTTGGGAACCCCATGGTTGTCCCATCACACAGGCCCTGCCATGACTGACTTTAGCAGTTCCCCACTCTTTCCACAGAGATCCAGGCCCTCTCTTAACTGTGGTTTCATGACTGGCCAGTTTTCCTTGGTTCTCTCCCCTCCCTCTTATAGGCCCAAAGCTTTAAGAGCTGGGACCCAATCAAATCGCTGCCTGGGATGATGCGCCATCATGCATCCTTAGTGTGTGGCATGGCAGAGTCAGCAAAGGCAGAGGCTAAGGGCATGCGTCAATCAGGCCAGTGCTAGTGGTGTGCCCAGGCCTTCCAGCCTCGCCTCTACTGAAACCACAGACGGTAGGATGGTGAATAATGGAGCTGTGGCATACTCAGGGTTCCAGAGTGCTATTATGTCCATGACCTCACTGAGTCCTCGTGAGCTAGGTCCATTTTGCCGACAAAGCTCAGAGAGGCTGGTCACACAGTGCCAGAGACAGTGCAAACCCAGGGTCCTTCCTGGGTCCAGTGTTCTTCCACCATCCTCACTGCAGGTGTGAGGGTGCGGGGCCTCTGGGAATGAAGAGGTGCAGACTGGCCTCTCTGATCCTCCTGAGCTGTGAAGAAAGGCTCTCAGGTGACTGATCCCAGCAGGCTGACCGAGCCGCCCCAGAAGAGGTTCTGACCGGCCAGGGGCAGGTGCAGCTCCAGCTGGGGTCTAAGGCAGGAGAGCATAGGAGGGCATCCCAGTTCTCTGGGGCAGCTGTTTCACCTCATGTGGCTTTTCTTTAGAAGGAAATCTCTCAAACGGGAGCTGTGTCGTGTGGCTGCTAAACTCACTTGGGGTTTCTGACTCTCTGAGCAGCTGCTTCCTGAGCCGACCAGCACGGAGGAGAGGGAGGAGGGGGACGAGAGCCTAGAGGAGGCACTCCCAGGTGAGGGTCTGGTGACTTCCTGACAGCACGCGTGCGCGCGCACACACACACAATTACTCGTAGCCAGCCTTCCCAGAGTCCCAAATAATTCTTGGGGCACAGCTGTAGGAAGCTCATCCTTCTGGGGACAGAGAAGACAGCCAGAAGCAGGGAAGAGTGTATGGGCCCTGTATCCAACCAGCCAGCTTCCGTCTTGGCTACAGCACGGTTTTTGGCTCTGGAATTTGCCGTCCTGGGCCAACAGCACCTCGACCTTCATGGTTGGTATTAGCACAGGTGTTGTCCCTACACACAGAGCCTCCAAGACCACGAGCCACAGATGATTGGAAATAGAATCCCTGAATCCAGTTGGTTCCAACGAACCGCAGGCTGGGTGGGTGGTCTCCTGTTTGACGTCCCAGACTCCCAGTCACCTGAACGGCACACTGAGTGCAAAGTCTGGTGTCAATCCACTATTTAAAATTCATCAGGGGATGTGACTGTTCAAAGGCATCAACCACATTTTATAAAGTAGAAAGTGCTTTATAATGTGAATATTATCTGATATTTTACAAGTGTAGATTTACCCCCTCCATGTGACATCCCTGAAATAGCTCACATTTACATAAAGTTCCCAATTAACAAAGTCAGCACTCTCGGGAGATTTGGGAACAGGGGGAGGGAGAAGGGGCTTGATGAGGAAATACTGAACAATAAAACACAGTCCTGCCCCCACGGAGCTTATAGTCTAATTGGGCATATAAAACATATACACTTGAATCAGTTAATGAGTACCCACCAGGTGGTAGGGCCACCATGTCTCGGGGCTAGAGCTTTACCAGTCAGGTCCCTGCAACGAACCCCCATGAGGCCTGCCTTTCTTCGGCCCCACTTCCTCTTGGCCTGTTTGCCATTCCCTGACCTTGGCTCTCACCCCCAGCCTGGAAGTGCTCCCTCCTTACAACCACCTATTGCAATCCCCTCGTTCTCAGCTTCAGCTGGACCTCTCCCCAGAAGCCTTTCCTGGTCCCACCCTTCGAATCACATATGTCGAGGTAACAGTGGTGGCCATGCATGATGTAAGCTTCCCGAGGACAAGGCCTGGTCTTCCTTTAGTCTGCCCGCTGCCATAGTGGATGGAGAGCCAGCCTCCAGGAAGCAGGAACGGCTAGCATAGGGCTCAGCCTCCCATGTCCCAGGCAGTTCTTACCACGTGCAGTTGCAGAGAAGGTGCAAATCTGCCGTGGTACAGGAAGTTTCTCATCTATTAAAAAAACGTGTAGGACGTAGCATGGCACTTTTGACCTAGTAGAGAGATTCAAAAATGTTTGCTGAATGAATTCAGAAACTGGGAGATCAATGTGGGTTCTAATAGCTGGACTGAGCCTGGATCCAGATCATGAAGAATGGGCCGACCCTTTGAAGTGGAAGAGAGCAATAGAACTGAAGGGGGCAGGCTGACTGAGGGGACGATGTAGAAAGCCCTGGGATAGGGACACCGAAGTTGGATCAGGAGCCCTGGAAAAGCTACACGACGGAGGAGGGGTGCATGCCCGTCCACATGTCTGGCCCCGAAACAGGATGAGGGCTGGGGTCTTTTCCAGGGAGCTGCTGTCCAGGAGAGGCTCCGAGGCCCAAGAGGTACTGCCAAGAAGAGGGTGTGGGGAGGAAGGCCCTGGCTGCCAGCTGGCTGCCCCTGCTGAGCCTCGGGCAAGCCCCCCAGCGCTCTATCGGAACGGGACCCACCTGCTCCCAGGCCAGGGGCTGGGGCAGCCCAGAGACCCGCGGGGAGGTAAAGGGGCCCCGGGGGGGAGGGTCCCCGGCTGCTGGGGGGTGGCGGTCAGGTCAGAGCCCCCCTGACAGCCCGTCTGTCTCTCCTCCTCCTCTCCCTAGGACACGCTGTGGCTGCAGGAGGTGTCCAACCTGTCCGAGTGGCTGAGCGCCGGCCCAGGGTCCAGGCCCGGACCCTAGGGGGGCAGTCCCCGGCCCCGCTTCTTCCAATAAAGGCGCCCCCCAGCCCAGCCGTCCCCGTCAGTCGCTGCGCCGGTCCGTGGTCGGGGAGCGCGGGCGGGGGATGCGCAGGCGGGGCCAGAGGAAGGTGGGGGCGGGCGGGGAGCCGGGGGGCGAGGGGGGCAGGCCCGGAGAGAGGGGGGACCGGAGGTCGGGCAGAGGGAGCAGACTGTGCACGCTGAACTGAGGGTTGGAGGGCGGCGGGGGCGGGGACGGAGCCGCGGAGCGGATGGGCCGGAGCCGGAGGGACGAGGGGCTGGGGGGCGGGAAGAGGGGCGGGGCCAGATAATACTCCAGGTCAAAGTCCGAGTCGACATCCGAGTCCGACGGGGGCCGAGGGCGCGCGCGCGGGGCCGCGGCGCGCGAGGGCGGGGCCTGAGCGAGGTGGGGGCGGGGCCGAACCAGGGCGGGGGCGGGCCTTGGGGAACGGGAGGACGAGGCAGAAGCTGGAGTGGGGCGGGACCCGAGCGAGGAGGAGGCGGGACCCGAAGGGCGCAGAGGCGTGGCTCCGTGCGACGCCGTGACGTTACGCTGCGCGTCGCGGGAGCCCCGCTGGAGCCGCCTGAACGGTCGCCGGGTGCGCGTCATTGGTGCGCGCCGCGCCGGACTCCGCGGCCCCGGGCACAGAGCACGATGGCGGCGCTAGGAGGCGACGGGCTGCGGCTGCTGTCGGTGTCTGGGCCGGAGCCGGAGCCCGAGTCGGCGGCGCTGAATGGCGCGGGTCCTGGCCTGTGCTGCTGGGTGTCCGTGTGCTCCTGCCTCAGCCTCGCCTGCTCCTACGTGGGCAGCCTTTACGTGTGGAAGAGCGAACTGCCCAGGTGCGGCGCGGAGGGGGAGGGGGCGGGACCTGCGCGGACGGGGCGGGGCTGCGACCTGGGCTTCCGGAGCGAGGGACCGTGCTGGTGTTGCCGGGGGCGGGGCTTCGATGACATACTTCCGGGGCAGGGGCGGAACTTGCGGCCGACCTGCCAGAGGCGGGGTATGCCCCGACAGGGGGCGGGGCTCGGAGGCTCCCGCACACTAACCGTCCCTCCCCAGGGATCATCCTGCGGTCATCAAGCGGAGATTCACCAGCGTTCTCGTGGTGTCCAGCCTCTCCCCGCTCTGCGTGCTGCTTTGGCGGGAGCTCACGGGCCTCCAGGTCCGGGGGGGCGGGGCACGGGAGGGAAGGAGGGCCGGCCTGGGGGCGGGGCCTGGCTGCGGGGGCGGGGCCGGGGGGGGGGGGCGGGGAGGGAAGTTGGGCCGGCCTGGGGGCGGGGCCTGGCTGAGGGGGCGGGGTCGCCTCACACCCCTTCTTCTGGGGCTCAGCCAGGCATATCCCTGTTTACCCTGATGGGCTTCAGGCTGGAGGGCATCTTCCCCGCCGCCCTGCTGCCGCTGCTGCTGACCATGGTGCGTCCCTGCAGGGGGTGGGTGGGCGGGCGGGGGGCAGGCCCTCCCCCTCGCTGAGCCCCCCTCTCCCTCCCCCCAGATCCTGTTCCTGGGCCCCCTGATGCAGCTCTCCATGGACTGTCCCTGGGACTTGGCCGACGGACTGAAAGTGGCCCTGGGTGAGTGGGGGGGCGCTCGGCCAATGAGCTGGAAGGTCGGGGAGCCCCCCATAGCAGGGCTGGGAGACAGAAGACCTGGGTGCAAGGCCTGCTTGAGCCAGGTCCTTGGCTCTCTAGCCTCAGTTTACCCATCATTCTGTGTGAGGGAGACTCAGGGCCATAGTCCGTCCTGGAGCAGGGGCTCGGGTCTCTCAGTCGCTGGTTGTGGAACCTTGGGCAAGTGAATTTATGTTCTTAGACCTCAGTTTTCTCTTCTGTGAAATGGGGATAGTGATATTTGCTTCCCTTAAAGAAGAGTCGGGTTTTAACTCAGCAAACCAATGTGTTTCCCAGAGTCCCTGAAGAATGATGGGGGGATATCGTGGGAACCGAGACCCCTCCTCCCATCCTAGCAGCTCCCAGGGAGGGGGGCCCTGCCCCTGCGCTCCCCTTCTCACGCCCTCCCTCTTGGCCAGCCCCCCAGGCCTGGGCACGATGCCTGACGGACATGCGCTGGCTGCGGAACCAGGTGATCGCCCCCCTGACGGAGGAGCTGGTCTTCCGGGCCTGCATGCTGCCCATGCTGGCCCCCTGCACAGGCCTGGGCCCTGCCATCTTCACCTGCCCCCTCTTCTTCGGCGTCGGTGAGCTTCCCTCCCCTGGCCAGACGTGAGGGGCTCCCGGAGGGCTGGACAGGTTTCCCAGCGGGGTGTGGGGGCAGCAGGCCTGGGTGTCCCCAAGTCGCCCCTTCCCTTACAGCCCATTTTCACCACGTGATTGAACAGCTCCGTTTCCGCCAGGGCAGCGTGGGGAGCATCTTCTTGTCAGCTGGTGAGGCCTGGGGGACGGAGGGGGGCCGGAAGGGGGGGTTGGACGGGATGGGGTGACCACTGACCAGGAGCCCCCACTCCCCGCAGCGTTTCAGTTCTCCTACACGGCGGTCTTTGGGGCTTACACGGCTTTCCTCTTCATCCGCACAGGTGGGTGCGGCCCTGGGAGAGGCGGGTGGGAGGGGCTGGGAGGCACCCAGGCCTGCTCTGCTGACCCCTGGCTGTCTCCCCTCCCCCAGGACACCTGATCGGACCAGTCCTCTGTCACTCTTTCTGCAACTACATGGGCTTCCCCGCGGTGTGTGCAGCCCTGGAGCACCCCCAGAGGTGCCCCCTGCTGGTGGGCTATGTCTTGGGGGTGGGGCTCTTTCTGCTCCTGCTGCAGCCCCTCACGGAGCCCAGACTGTACAGCAGCCTCCCCCTCTGCCTGCTCCTGGACCGAACAGGCGCGTCAGCCACTTCGCTGTGCTCCTGACCTCTGCTCCTTCCCTACAGACTCTCACGGGCTCCCCAGCCCCCCACGAGAAGTGGGGGGAGGGGTGAGCTGGGGTCCCTGAGATCTCAGGAATTTTGGCAGGGGGACTAGAAGCCAGAACTAGTCAAACCCCCAGGACTGAAAGGAAGGGGATCAGGATCCCAGGCTCCCTGTGGGGTCGGGTAGCCCCTTCTGCACTGTGTTGCTCCTGGGCCCTAGGGAGGCTGCTGGGGGATGGAAGCAGTCCCTCCTGCCTGCCTCCCGGGGTTTTCTCATCTTTTTGCATCAGACTTTGTATTCAGATATTAAAGAGTTTTAACTTGGGTAATCCAGAGTCAGGGCCAGCCTTTGGCAGCTGGGCTGGCAGTGAGCCCTGTGGCCTCCTCTGAAATAGGGCTAAATATTGGAACGGTCGCCCCAGAGGGTGGTGGTTGTGTGTTACAGCCCGTGGAAATGCCGTTCAGCCTCTATTGTGTACCTACTGTGTGCTGCCCCCCCCCCCAGCACTGGCCCTTGTTGCATCATTTGCTCAGCTGGGAGCCGGGGGCGGGGCTTGAATGAAACAGACCAGAGCTGAGGCCCCTCCCAGCCGCTCCCTCCCTGGCTCAGAAACACCAGGCCTGGGTTTGAACTCTGCCCCGAGGCCTCTCTCCCACTGCTTCTGTGCCACACCGTGTCCCGTTGTCCCTGCCGGACTTGGGCCTGGGCAAGGCACTTCATTGTGCTGACTCAGTTTCCTCCTCCAGGGTCCCTCCCACCTAGTAAATCTATGTCCAGGGAGGGTCGGTGTGCTCAGCCCATCTTGCAGGTGGCCGGGAGGAAAGCCAGCTCGTAGAGGTTGCTCACCCTGTGGGCAGGCAGGAGGCCCCACCCCAGGCTCCCCCTGCCAAGCCCCTCAAGAGGACACAGATATAGGGCTGCTTTGCTGTGAGGCCTGTACTGGGGGGTGCTCTGATGTGAGCTCAGAGGCCTGATGGATGGATATCCTCGCGGTGTGGTTTTCCACTCAGGGGCCACCAGACGCATTAATGCCTTTTCCCTCACTGTGGGACACACAGACCCTTGGTCGAGCTGGACAAAGTCCCTGAGACTGGGGGGAGCTGAGGCCTGGGTCACTGAGCAAGGGAGACCCTGGGGGAGTCTCAACTAAAACTTAGCTTTCCTCTCCTGCCCCTTGGCTGTGTGGGGTTTGAAGGCCTGTCTGTATCATTCCTCCAGGCTTTTGTCCTTGTAAAATGTGGGGCTGGTCCTTGGGGTTCTCTCCAAGGCCTCAACCAAACCCGGCTTTGTCCCCACCTGGGGCTGCCTCAGCGCTGGGCCCAGCTCAGGACACTGCTGCTCTCCGCGTTTCTCATGAGATCCAGAAGCCTGACACTAACCTGGGGGGGGGGCAAAGGACCGGGCAGCAAGCAGATGACAATGGGCTTTATTGAGTATTTGAGTCTGTCGAGGCTGCAATAAGGAGGTCACATCCCCTGACTTTCCTGGTCTGGAGCCCCCTCCCCCGGAGAGAGGGCACCAATTTGGCAAAGAAACATCCTGCAGGGGGCAGAACGTGACGGGCAGTTTGGGGAGGGGAAGGCAGAGAGGGAGGGCCCTCTCTCGGTTCCCCAGCCGTGAGCAGCTGGTCCCAGGGGCTGCCAGAGCAGCCTGGCCAGCTGCCCTTTCCTGTGGCCTGGGTCTCCCAGGCGGCAGCAGCGTCTGCTAAAGGACGAGGGGGAGAGCAGGCCTCCCAATGCTAAGGCATTGGGGACGAGGGAGGAACCGTGGGTCACTCGATCTCCAAAATGAGGTCATCCCCCTCCAGGGTCATGTCCTGGGTCACGTGAACCTTGCTGACGGTGCCCTCCATGGGCGACGTCACCACAGTCTCCATCTTCATGGCGCTCAGCACACACAGTGGCTGCCCCTTAGTCACCTTGGCCCCTGCTTTCACTTTGATGTCGATCACCTTGCCGGGCATCGGGGCCCCGATCTGGCCCTTGACGTCCTTCAGGGCCTTGGGGTGGAAATGCATCTCCTGCAGGAGTAGGTGGGAGAGTGGGCTGCTGAGACCCCTGAGGCCCCCTGGGGCCCTGTGCCCCCATGCCTGCCCTCCATCACCCTCCCTCAGGAGCCCTACCTTCATGGCCTGGGTGTCCTTGACCAGGATGGAGCG